AGATAACGACAAGTCGTTCATGGATGAATATTGTATGGTTAGTCTCAATTAGAAATATGACATGATATATGATTTTATAGGTTATGGAACCGAATGCTACGCTCTTTTAATTTTTTAGAGCGAAGAAAAAAATGTATTTGGGATATCTCACTCCCATGATAATTATTATAATATTAAAACTTTAAAAAATATCTTTCAATATCGCCGGGGTGGTGCAGTGGTGTGTGACGAAGACTTGTAAACCGAAGGTCCCAGGTTCAATCCTGGGAAGGAGCTAAAAATTTTCGGGTTTTTCTTCGATGGTGTATGGCTTTAGACATATGATATGATAAATTTCTGAGCTGAGAAATGCCACCCCGGTCACCGACAGGCTTGGACAGCCGGGTGCTAGGATACTTGTCCAATAAACCAAAAAAGAAGGCCAGCTGAACTCGTGGGTCAGATGATAATGGTGACCTCGGGGGCCGTTCAAGCTCAATGTCTGTCTACCAAGTTACAATAGACTTGATAACGATACTCCGGTGGGATATTCATCGATATTGATACCAATGGGAGAGATCAGGATTGGGATATCTGTCTATTTGATAATTCAGTGTGAGGAATACTCAGGTGGGATATCTGGTCGATATTGATTTGATGCCCCGGTGGGGGAGATCAAGATACTTTGGCCTCAGGATACACCGGTGATCGATACAAATGAAATCGATCAGAAATACAAATATTGGGAGATCGGGATTGGGATATCTGTCGATTTGATAACTTCGTGTTGGGAATACTCAGGTAGGATATCTGGTTGATACTGATTTCATACATCGGTGGGAGTTCAAGATACTTTGGCCTCAAAAATGATACACCGATGATCGATACAAATGAAATCGATCAGAAATACAAAGATAAAAATAGATAGCAAGATTAATATTATAATATAGATAAGTGAAGGAGCTTACCACCAGAAAAAGTGAAAGCTAAAAAAAAATAGCTTTCAATAATTTAAGATTTGTAAGCCGCGTATTCATTCCTGGAAGGCATAGATAAAAGGTATTCAAATATTGCTTATAATTATCTTTTGAATATCTTTTATTTTCAATAAATTCAAACACATCTATAAAGATTAATATATACTGTCCGAAATAATTCACCCCCTATTTAAATTGGATTGGCCCTGGATAAAATTAGAGGTCAACAAAGGATGTTAGAACTTATTTTCAATTTAAGAAAAAATCTTGAAAGAAAGAACAGTTTTAATTCCTTTATCCAACACACCCATCCTTGTGAAGATGATGTATTAATCATTTTGCAAAATATTGATAATTAAATATTTTTAATTATTAAATATTACAACTCTCCCATCCTCTGCGCCAATTGATTGTGTGTTTAGCATGGCGGAAGCTGTGTTAAGAGCACTAAGCACCCTTGTTTTTCATGTCAAAATTTTGAAAATCAAATGTTGCTTAAAATAAATAAAAAATTGTTAAAAAAAGTTGTTATCTTCTATATAATATATTATTTTTGTAAAATTTTACTTATATTATAATAATATATATGAAAATTTTTTTTATAAAATGGTATTATTTATTCTTTTTGTATAGTTTATTTATATTATATATTGTTGGAAAAAAATAAATACTTTTTTTGTATATAATATTTAAGTTTTTAAGTAATGGGTAACCCGTTACTTTTTTGAATAGTCAGTAGCGCGCGTTCCTCTTTTTAAAAGATAACGAGTAGCGGTAACGCGTTCCTTTTTTTAGACGTAACGGTAACGCATTTCTTTTTAATAGTAATTTTTACAGCACTAGATTATAATGAATTTATTTTTAAAAAATTTAGGAAAAATTATAATAGAAGCAGTGCTTCCCTTGCTTCTATGGACGCTTCGTCAATGAATAGAGGCAATTATATTGAATTTATTTATTAAAATTTAATATTAAAACATCATTTAGAAAATAGTGTAGTTTTTATTGGATTAAGCAATATTCTGAATGATTTAATTTATTCTATTTCATGTTTTGCATCAAAAAATATTGAATGAATTGAAAAAGTTGAAACTAATATTAGATAAAACAACTGATATAACCAATAAATCGCAACTGGCTCTTGTTCTTCGATATGTTATAGATGACGGAACATTGTATGAACGATTCATTGAATTTTTCCTTATTATGCATCGAGATGCTGATTTATCAAAATTTATAATAGAATAATACGTTAGAGTTACGATGTCGCTGCAGTTATGTCAGGCGATTCACATGCTTAATTGAAAATAAGAGACGTTAATCCTTTAGAACTTTTTATTCATTTTTTTGCCCATAAGTTAAATCTATCAAAATTTTGCAGCATAATTATTGCATGTAAAGTTTTTTTTGCAATGTTATTTGGTTTAGCCAGTATTTTTAGTATATCATCTAAACGAACAGCGGAATTTGATAAATTTGTCAAAAAAGATTACCACGAGTAGCCCCAACGAAATGGGAATATAATGGTCAGCTTCCAACAATTTACAATTATTTAAAGGATTTAATAAATTTTTTGGAAACTAGGATTGATATTGTTTCACATGTGTAAATCTAAGAAGAATAATATGTATTATGTTTATGTAATTGAAATATAAAATTATTTGAATGAATTATAAATGGTATATCGTATATATATCTTTTATATACCAATACAACTCATATTTTAAGCATTTTATTAATTTTAATATTCAAATTTAAGAAATAATAATTTAATATATACTATAAATATAATTAAATAGCATTTTAAAAATTTTATACGCCGCACCACCGCCATAAAAAACCAACTGCAAGTGTGGCGGCGCAGCTTATCTCAATAGGTGGCATTTCCAGTTTGGAGAAAATTGCCGGCAACCATGGCTTGAGCCGACGGCCAGGATCTATATGTATATAATATATTGCCATATCTATATAGAGACTGCACATTCCAGGGGCGTCGTTACCTTTTTACAAAAGGGGCTACCAAAAGTGCTAATTTATTTTTAAAAAAGACATATATTTTAACTATATTTATAGCTTCCAATACCCCCTTTACACGCTTTTGCCCGGGCATCGTTAGGATTAGATTTAAATCGTCTACTATAATTAAATCTAGTATACATGTTTTTACTAATTAAAATAATATCTAATACAAATTAGAATCTAGCTCAAATTATTTATACTCATAACTTCTATACTAACTTTTATCAGGTTAAATTAATAAATTGCAAGTTGATAGTGTTGTTAAACGGCTCGTTTTGAGCCGATTTTTAAAAACGCTCACTACTTCATCCAGAAAATTTTTACGCCTAAAGATTTTGCTCATAGAAGGAACAAAGGTCTAGACATATTTTATCAAAATCTTAAGGCTTAGGCAATATTTTCTGGTTAAAATATATATTTAACCGTTTCAGCTCGAAACGAGCCGTTTAACAACACTACAAGTTGATATAAAATTGGGATTATCTTTTTTATATAATATTGATAGTGGAAGATCATCTATTAAAGAAAATTAAAATATCATTTCAAATTTCTTATATACATATATTCTGAATATTGAAATTATTGTTTACATTTGGTTTAGTTAGATTCTATTATGTACAATCAATAAAAAATAATTATTATAAGTAGATCTAGTTTTTAATGAATTGGAGATTTCATTTTTTAATAAAATTGAAGGTTGATGAGCATCTAAAATGGAAAATAAGATAATCAATGACATATTTTACTTATTGGGATAATAATTAAAGAACTACTTCGAATATAAATTGTTATTTATATTAGGTTTTGTTTCGTTTTGATGAGTAGGATCATCTAATAAAATTGTAATAAATAGTCGAAATTAGTGCTAATTTTGAAAAGGGGGTGCTTCAGCACCCAAAGCACCCGACATCCCTGGCACAGCTAGTAGAAAAAAAACAATAATTTAAAAATATGGAAATTTTTAAAGAAAAATAAGAACAAGATGAAAAAAATTTGCAATACGTATTCTGGGAAAAAAGATAAAGGAGTAAGGAATCTTTCCGTTAGACGGGTTTTGAGAGGACACTCTAATTGAGATTTTTGTTTTGTAAAAGGGACTTGAACAACATAAAATATAACAAAATTCGATTGTAAATTTTTTTTAATTTAAAATAATCTGAATTTTTTAATTAAAAGGCTTCATTTTCTTACCCAGCTGAATCCTTAAATATTTTACCATATTAACTTTATCAAATAATATTATACTTTTCATTTTAAGCATATATATATATGAAAATCAGTAAATTATTTCCTCCATAACACACCCGGTGTTTATAACTCTTGGATTTCATCAGAACAAAATAAATTTTTTGAAACAAAAGATAAAATATTTAATATTTTCAATAAATATTCATAAATAAAGAACTTTATTTAAAACACCGCAATACCATTTTAATCTTTTATGGAACGCATTTTTTGTTGTAGCAATTTCGGTTTAAAAATTAATAGAAACAAGCTTTAAAATATTATATTTTTAATCTTATTTATTTTTACACAATATACTCTATTACAAATTATAACTTTTAAATCTGTTGGGTATAATGTATAACCTTGAAACATTTTGTTTTTTTAATGTATTTATATTAAAAGATTTTGCTTTTTTTATGTATTTTTATTTAAAATATATTTTTAAATATGAATGAACGCGTTGATGAATCTGAACGCGAGCATATTCGATTTTTTTTACAAACCAACGCTAACGAATTAGATTTTAAAATGTTTACATCACTAATTTTTATTGCTTTTTTATTTTTGCCCCAACCAATTACCTCTTTCCAAGTGTTATAAATAGATTTTGGATTTTTGTGTTGAATTTTATATATGGTGGAAATTCGGAGCGTCTCCGCTTGCCTATAGTTTATAAATAAAACCTAAAATTTAAAAAGTGCAAATTTTTTTGCTATTTTTATTTACATATTACTTATGTTTTATACACCCCCTTTATTTAATGTATTTTAAAATGAATAAATTACTCATAATTTATAGGAAAGTTGTACCACTGAAACTATAGAAATACATGCCTACCTCGTACCAAGATATATAGGATCGCAAGGGAAAAATATCAAAGACCTTATGTCAAAATTTCAAGTAATTACTTTTTTAAAATGTTTTTATTACACACCTATATTTGGAGGATTTTTTAATACTATATTTTTTAGGTTGATATTAACAATCGCCGCCCTTTTAATAATCAAACGGAGGGCGCTATGGCAATTTTTATACTCAACGGTAAACCTGAAAACACACGCAGGGCAAAAGACCATATGCTATATTTGCAGGACAAATTTGTAAATTTTGATTATTTATACTTTTGAAATTTTTGAAAGTTTAAATTAAATCAGGAATATAAAGGCTATTCCTTACTTTGTTTTATGATTAATTTCTTCAAAAGTACATTTTAAGCAGGTTTTATTTTTTAAATGAATTTCATGAAAGGATTTTATTTGTATAAATTTACGATATGATCTTATTAAACCAGATAAATTAATGGATTTTATCAATCTCTAATAAAGTGAATGTCAAATATGAAATAAAAATTGAATTATAACGAATCTTATTTGAATTTAATAATTTTTATATTATATGTTTAGCTAAAAGAGATGCCTGCTGAAAGAGAAAACAAGAATCAATTTACGCTTAACCAACCCAAAGATTATAATGCCTACCTTTTAGACAATGAATACACAAATATCGCTAATGAAATATAATCACTAATATTTCTTAGAAAAATATTGAAATATTTTTTTGCAAACAGTTGGTCTTAACAACTTTTTTAACCCATTTTATCATAATCTCTCCCAAAAAGTGATAAATTATTTCTACCAAAATCATTGTTATGTTATTTATTTATAGACCTTATTTTTTTAATGATTTAAAAATAAGATATTTTATACAATTTTTTTTGGGTGCTAAACTATACATTAGCCTTGGATTCAATCATTTAAATAAGATAATGTTTTAAACAACCATATTCCTGCCATTATTTAATAATGGTTTATATATAATATTTATTCATTATTTTACTCTTATGTTTATTGCCAAGGTTATATTTTATGTGATGTTTTGTATGAGATATTCAAGGCTTCTTAAATTATCTACATTTTTTACATAATTCAAAAAAAAATTTACGTTTCAGATTGATAATAATCTGGGATTCTAAATAATAATTTGTGAGACTAAAGATATTAATTTGGTAGTCATGGTGGTTTTCTGTATACTTATTCATAACTAACAGCATATAAGAAGTGGATGAATGTACATCATATAATGCATTATAATAATTCACATCATCGAAGCGTCAAAAAATGATTATATAAAATGAATGCCTTATTACAAAATTGTTATCTATATATATTTGTTAATCAATACCAATCAACATCAAGTTAGGTAAAATATTTTTTTTAATATAAACAAAACTAAAATACCGTTAGGTATAAATTTTTATATAACAATCAATAACGAGCCAGAATGCTTAATGTTCCGGATTTTTATTAAACAACAGGTTATTCCATATCAATTGAGTAAAAAAAAATAGTTTTTAGGCCGATCACTTTTAATTTTGATATAATTTTATATAAAGATGATAAACAAATGAAATTTTCGTTGGTTAAGTTTTATATTACCTAATGATAGGGGCTAGAGGCGGCGCTGTTCTGCTAAAACCTTGGCAACTGACACGTTAAGAAAAAAATTTTTAATTTTTGTTTTTGTAGACTTTAATTTTATTTAAAATATTTACACACATTTATAATATATAAATTTATCCTAAATTCCTAAGATAGCGTTGATTAATAGATTCATATTTTTAATTGTTTTGTTAACTCGTGTGTCATAACGAACATATGATGATTTAACCAAGATATTACAAAAGGCATCCTATTCTAAATATGATTTATCCATTAAATATATCGTAATTGAGTGTATCTATGGCTACCCTATTATGAGTTGACAAAGATCAGTGTTGTTATATAACACCGCTGCTGGAGCGCTCCTTTTCAAAATTTGGGAACTCCTTTTTGTTATGGAGCAGAAAATTATGATTTTATAGTAATTACGGCGAAAACTTAATTAGTCAAAAATTCTGCATCGGCTAATCGTCCGTCAGCGTTCCATAGGATATATATAACATTAGTTATTCTTTATTTAGATTTAGTAAAATAATTTATTTATATTTAAGTATTTTATTACTAGCTTAATTAAAGCATGTCTTTATTTGTTTTCTTCATTTCATATTCAAAATTCAGTAGATTTCTTTATTTTTCTCTCATCATATGTTTCAATATTTGGTTATCTTTTCATATTAGAGGTCTAGTGGACTGGTTTTAGCCTGCTCATACTATAGGTGAGTAGGCGGGTAAATATATTTAGATCAATGAATGAGAAGGCGGGTGGGGTTAAAATATATTTTAGTCGAAATAAACAACATTTGTTTCTTAAAAGTTAAATTTTTATTAGAATATTGCGTATTTTATAAGTTTAAGTAAAAATTAAATAAATAAAGAAGCAAACCAATCAAATAATGGCTGGCGAATTAAGCAAAATTTTAAACAAAAATGAACTGACGAGTATCTATTTTTAAAAAAAAAATCATAGGCGGGAGGGTGAACGGGTTTTCGAATTAAAAATCAGCTCATTGGATCTCTTACATTTAATATTTTTCTTTTCATATATACTCAATAATTCTAAACAGATGAAATGTTAGAAGGATGACCAGGTTGGGTCTATATAGACTCCAAGCCCCAAAAAACTATTATGCAGATATATACTTTAACCTAAAAATATTAAGTACTAAAAGATACATATAAAAATATAGAAAGAATTTTGAGTAATAACTTTTAAATGACTGGGGTAGGCATAGTCCCACCTATGCTATGAAGCGTTAATATTTTCGATTTCTTTTTTACTTCATTTTGGGATCAGAGTATTTTATTATGATGACCCAGCGAGCGAGAGAAGAGGAACGAAAGAGCATAGTAATAATGTATTATTTCATTATGGCGTATAATAATTCTATTTTTTTTTATGTGGGCCCAGCGAGACAATAATTAATATGTTTTCTCCGTTTCATTTTTAGAGTAGATATAATAATTCACATTTTATTTATGGTAGTACAGTAGACTTGCCATATTCAAAAAGTGAATGTGGTATTTTCATTATAAAAATGCACGATTAAGAGGGACAAACGCAATCACATTATATATAAGTACTGGTGAATTTTTTTGTCAAATTACGAATTCATCAATCTTTATTATAATATGTATAAAAAATTAAATAGATATATCTATATATTTATCGAAAGTATCTATTTTATTTAAAAGTTTCTTATCTTTGGAAATAAACTTTGCTTTACCATTATTTCGGCTTGTAATTGAAAAAACATAATTATAAATTTTTTTAATTTTATTGCTTAATTAGAGTTTATTAATTGCATCCATTGTTTTCGTCCATTTTTACAAATTTGAAGAACATAACAAATATCTATATTTACATTTTTAACTAAAAATATTGAAAGATTCTGTGAATATTTTGGACTTCGACATAGAGAAATCGAGAAAATATCCTTCCAATAAGAAAATTCTAGCTATTTGTAAGGCTTCCACACCTATGGATTAGAGAGTACTATGAGCATTTCTTGGGTTATTAAATTACGGAGCGTTTTCTATCAAATTCCCATGGAGTTTTTGCACCATTAGATGGGAAGACAAGTATAAATAGTCATTGGATCTGGACCAATATAGAAGAGGCAACTTTTGCAAAAAAAAGATGATGGCAACAAAATGTTTGGTACCATACTCTTTGGAAATACCATGGATTTTAGAGTATGACGCCTCGAATGTAGGATTTCGGGCAGTAATGCTGCATGAATTAGGAAGGGACTACAAAACCAATAGTTTTTGCATCGCGCACAATATTGGATGCTGAAAAGAATTATTCCGCTTGATAAGGAGGAGCGGGTTCTTTTTTTTGGAATGGACAAATTCCATAGATATTGATACGGGAGAAAATTTATTTTCAGAACTGACAACAAACCATGGAGAGACTGTTTAGAAATAGTCGAGATCTGACAAATTTAACCGACTATAAAAATTGGCCTGGGCTGATTTTTTGGAATAACATAAAAGAAGAATTAAGAGCGTGCTAGCAGATTTACTAAATGGAAACAAAGCACGTTCGAGAAATACGAATTATTAACATGAACTATATGACCATGACGGAGAAACGGCTTTAATAGGAGACCAGTAATGATAAGATGCTAAATAAAGTAAAAAAAATTAATATATAGAGCTTGGTCAGGATTTGGTAATAATTCAGATTCAGAACAACAACCGCTTGCGAGGAAACAAAATGAGCTATCCTTAGATAACGATTAGTTATTTCAAATCTTTTGCTTAACGAATTTTTAAGACACTTCCATAGTTGTCATCCAGGAATTGAGACCATGAAGTCAATACTACGATTTTATTGGTGGTGGGTGAATTGCGATTGTGATGTGAGATACTATGTATCAGTGTAGGGTTGTCAAGTAGCTTGACCAGGAATTTCAGAAACGCCCCTCTTGGAATTTTCCTGATTCCATAGGAGTGACATCGATTTTCCAGGGCTTATTGATTTGTTTTGATTAGTAGAGTGGATTCAAGTTCCAAATGGGTGGAAGAAGTTGTACTGAAATCAATGGCAGCCAAAATTTAATAAGGGTAGTAAGAAGTTGTAGCGAATTTTGCCACCAAGACAGCTGGGATCAGATAGAGTTTAAAAATTTTTATAAACAAGAAAATATTCAACTCATCTTTTAACAGCATGCCATCTTAAATCTGTTAAAGTTATGAAAAAAAATATTTTTATTTTATGATTTGAATATTAAAATGTGAGACGAATATTAAAATTATTGTTAACGTACTTGAATGTACTGAGAATATTATTGTTAATTTTAATTTTGCATATAAAATTTTTTTTGAATATTAATTTTTTTTTATTTGTGAATATTTAATCTGTTAACATATATAAACCCGGAATTTGTGAATTAAAAATAATTCTTTTTTTGTCTTATTTAATAAATTTGGAACTACATAGTTTGGATTACTAAAATTGGATTACTAAAGTATTAATTTATATTTAAGACATTAATATTTATCTTTCTATCATACCAAAAACATCGAAATCCAACACTGGACCGAAGTAAAGGTACTCAGGGACCTCAGATCTTCAGTCTAATAAATATACAATACAATTATAGCTAAAAGAAATAAAGTGTGAAGAAAAGTCAATTTGGTTATACCATCGTATTTAAGGTAAAAGATTTTGTATAAATGTTATATTCTTGTTATGTATGTATAATAATATTAGTTAGTTTTCTTTATGTAATTAATTCCGGACATATTATTAAATTATTTCTTATTAAGGTTTTAGTAAATTCATTATAATGTACATTAGTCAAATGATTTTAAGGAATCTTTAGTAGAAAATATAATGTTAATTTTGGTGGTTATGGTTTTGGCTTTTATATTAGGTTTAATTATAGGAAGAAATACGACTTACGTTAAGATAGAGAGTAAAGAGTTAGAAAATATTAAAAAAATATTAAGAATATATTAAGAGAGGAAGATAAGAAAGGAAATATAGACAACTTCAGACGAACGGATAACTACAGGCAGATAATTTGCTATAGTTGTGGTCAGCCGGGCCACATGTCGCGCCAATGTGAGTTAACGAAGAATCTAAGATGCGCGAGGTGTGGCAAAAAGGCCATGTGGTTATAAGATGCAGAGTAAACAATTTGATTTTAAGGTGCAATAGTTGTGGCCAAGAGGGACACACACAAGAAAATTGAATAAATGACTAAGAGAGAGATATTTTAATTTTAATGATAAATTTTGTAATAATAATAATTTTTCTAATGTTGATTATTTTAATTCAAGTAAGAATAGATATTTTAATTTTAATGATAAATTTTGTAATAATAATAATTTTTCTAATGTTGATAATTTTAATTCAAGTAAGAATAGATATTTTAATTTTAATGATAAATTTTGTAATAATAATAATTTTTCTAATGTTGATAATTTTAATTCAAGTAGAATAAATATTTTCATAATAATTTTTCTAAATAATTTTAATTTGAGTAAGAATAAGTATTTTAATGTTAATGTTAAATCCTGTGATGATAATGAGTGTTTTAATGTTGATGATTATAATTTGTGTAATAATAGAAGTATAGGTAAAAGGAGAGATATAAAGAAAGTAGGAATTTTGAAATATATAGAATAAAAGGTTCAACTTTTGTAGATGTACGAAAGATTAAATTAGAGGATTTTTTAATGAAAAATAGATGTCCGAGAGTCAAGATAAAGACTGAAGAAGCAGAGATATGTTTTTTATTCTATACAGGAGCTGAAATTAGTTTGATGAGTATTGAGGATTATATGAGATTTTGGCCAGAAGAAGAATTTGTTGTAAAAAAGATAGAGCCAAACAATTAGATGGTAGTGTTGTGAAAATTTTAGGTTATTATAGGTTAAGGTTACCAGGAGTTAATAAATATATAAATTGAGCCTATAGTAGGATGGTGCGATATAAGAACAATAGGCGGTTTATAATTGGTGGAATTTTTTTGAAACTATCTCTGTATGTAATGATGTAAATAGTGAAATAATAAAGAGTAATGTCGATAAATTTAAGTTACCTAGTATAGAAGATAAACAAGAAATAGTTCTCGAAAAACTTAGAAATCGAACACCAGAGTTTTTGATTAAATATAGAGACAAAGAGAATAAGATTTCAAGAGATATAAAGTCTTTAGAGGTAACACCCGTTGAAATCAACAAACAGATAAAATTAAGAAGTAGAACAGGAAGAGATTATTGAAAATAACTACAGCCATGAAATAAGTATGATTGTAGATCAATACTTGGAGGTTTTTAAAGAAGAGTTACGGACGCTAAAAGATGTTAAAGTAGATATAAAATTATTAGAAAATTACCAGCCTAAATTTTGTGGAGTAAGGAGATTGCCTTTTTCTTGGTTAAAAGAAGTCGATAAGGAATTAAATAAATGGTTAAAAGAAGGCATAATACGACCTATAGTACGTAGCGATTGGGCGACACCGTTAGTCCCCATTAGAACAGATTATAGTTTAAGATTATGCATAGATTATAGAGTTTCGTTAAATCCATGCATTAGCACAGTTAGTTATCCATTACCGAGGATAGAGCAATTATTGGCAAATCTAGAAGGAGCAACGATTTTTTCGAAGGTTGATTTTTCTAACGCTTATTTACAGATTAAAGTGAACGAGAACACGAGTAGGATGTTGACAATTACGACATAAGAGGATTATTTGCATTTTGTCGCTTACCATTCGGTTTGAAAGTTTCGGCTGCGATATTTCAGAGAACCATGACTTCTTTATTTCAAGGATTAAAAGGAATTATGTATTATTTAGATGATGTTTTAATATCAGGTAGAACCGAAGAAGAACATAATTCTAGATTATTTAAGGTGTTAGATATAATATAATGGTTTAAAAGCTAATATGAAGAAAAGCGTTTTCAGAGTAAGAGAAATAAAGTACTTAGGACATTTTATAAAAGGAAACATTACTCCGATTGCCAAAAATATAGACAAGATAGTAACCATGAGAGCGCCAAATAATAAGTCTGAATTACAGTCGTTTTTAGGAGCTACAAATTATTACCATCGTTTTATTCAAGATTTTGCTGAAATTGCTACACCATTATATAGTCTATTAAATAAAAATAAAAGGTTTGAGTGGGGAGCAGCACAGGAAGAAAGTTTTAAAAAATTGAAAATAATGTTTGTAGAGAAACCTATGTTGAATTGCTTTAATGAGGAATTAGATATTGTTTTAGCAGTGGACGCATCTAATGAAGGTATAGGAGGAGCTTTATCAGAAATAGTTGATAATGTAGAAAGGCCGATTTTATTTGTGACAAGACAGTTTAATAAGGCTGAAAGAAATTATTCAACTATAGAAAGGGAAGCCTTAGCAGTCAAGTTTGGTTTAACCAAATGTAGAGAGTATTTGTTAGGCCAAAAATTTTAGTTATATACGGATCACAAACCGCTGGTAGGGCTTTTTAAAAGAGATAATAAGGAGTTGATGATGTCACCAAGGTTACAGAAATGGCTTATGTTGTTAGGGAATTTTGATTTCGAAATAAGATTCAGAGCGGGTAAACAAAATTGTTTACCAGATATATTATTGAGATTGTGTGATATGGACTTGGAAGACAATGATATAGAGCCAATAATAAATAGTTTGGAATATAGTGAAGAAGAGGAACTAAGTAGTAATGTGATAAGAGCTTTAAAGGTAGATACAAGAGAAAGGCCGATAACTTTAGAGCTAGTAGACAAGATTTCCCAGCAGGATGAAGAATTAAGGAGAATTAGAGCCTGTTAGAAGGGAAATAAAGAATGGGAAGGTAGAGACCAGGCCTTTAAAAACAGTAGAAGTGAATTGAATATAGAAGACAATTGTTTAATGAGTTAATATCGTTTAGTTGAACCAAGTAGAAGGAAAGACATGTTAGCAGCCGTACATACAGAACATCAGGGCATAGAAAGAATGAAGAATAAGGCAAGGGAATACATTTCGTGGGCCAGAATGAATAATGAAATTGAAGAATTAGCTAAGAGTTGTGAAACATGTAATAAGTGTGTGAATGTACCTTCAAAAGTTAGGGGAGACAAATGGCCAGAGACAGATGTACCATGTGAATGAAAGAATGCACGTAGATTTTTTAGAATATGAAAGGAAGAAGTATTTTATAATGGTAGATGCGGGTTCAAAATGGATAGATTGTCAACAGGTATCTGGTCTGTCGACGAAAGTAGCATTGAATAAGGTAAAAGACTTCGTAAGTAAATATGGATTAATGAAGACCTTAGTATCAGATGGTGGTCCAGCATTTATAGGCAGAAAATTTGGCAAATTTTGTGATAGATGGAAGATTGAGCATTTATTAGCACCACCACATTACTCAAGAAGTAATGGACAAGCGGAGAGAATGGTAGCTATAGTTAAGAGTTGGTTAAAAAAGGAAAAATATGGAGAAGGAAAATGGTGGTTATTACTATTAGCGTACAACAATACCAAGAGAAGCAAAGGATACTCATCAGCAGAGATATTTTTAGGTAGAAAAACTAGAACTGAGATTTTCTGAAAGAAAGAATAGAACAGAAAGAAGTTATAATTAATGATAGATTTAAAATCGGAAGTTAGTATGGATACTACTTTTTGATGGCCCAGTTAAATGGGGGAAAGGTATAGTGAAGAAGAATATAGGAAGAAAGAAGGTTGAGGTAGAAATTGAAGGAAGAGTAGGATTAGTTTCGAGGCATTTTAAACAATTAAGACCTATGTGTATAGGTTAGGAATATAAGACGGTGTGAATCGATTAAATTGCTTTGATTTGGGAATGCTGATAGACTTAATTGATTTGTTTTTTAACAAGTCTGCGAGAGTTATGAAAATCATGATGTTGGGAATGCTGATAGATATAATTGATTTGTTTTTTAACAAGTCTGCGAGAGTTATGAGAATCATGATGTTGGGAATGATGATAGACATAATTGATTTGTTTTGTAACAAGTTTGCGAGAGTTATGAGAATCATGATGTTGGGAATGATGATAGACATAATTGATTTGTTTTTCTTAACAAGTCTGCGAAAGTTATGAGAATCATGATGTTGGGAATAGTGATAGACTTAACTGATTTGTTTTTGTAACAAGTCCGTGATAGTTATGATAATCATAATGTTGACGTATGATGTACACAATTATTGTAATAGGTCGGCTGAAGGGATGAACAATTTGATATTACATCTGACATAAGGTAAGAGAGAATGAGAGAGGTATAAGTTAGTACGAGAATAATTACGAGTATTTAGAATTAGGAAGTAGGTGAATTATATGAGATAAATAAATGATAATATATAGTATATATTTAGCTTAATTCCGTTATAGATGGCTTCTTATGTTCGAGTGGGCAACTTTATTATTAAGATATAAATTAGGATGGTTGATGAATCGGTAGAATCTAGAAGATGGGTAGACGCAGCCAGAGAAGAGGCGCAGATCAGGTATGGAGATATGACGGTAGACAGACCCGCAGGCTGGTCATACAATCGAAGAAGAGAACGGGATTGGGGAACACGAAGAAGAATGTCGTGTTGGTATTGTGGGGGAGATCATATTTTACGGAGGTGTCCCACGATTAGCGTAGACAATAACATATTAGCAGTACAGGAGGAGGAACCGATGGGAGGACAAGGTAGCAGTTTATGAGTGATAGAATCAAGTCGAAGTGAAAAGGTGTTAAAGTTATGAAGTTTTTTGAATAAAAAGAATTTTTTATTTTATGATTTGAATATTAAAATGTGAGATGAATATTAAAATTATTGTTAACGAACTTGAATGTACTGAGAATATTATTGTTAATTTTAATTTTGCATATAAAATTTTTTTTGAATATTAATTTTTTTTTGTTTGTGAATATTTAATCAGTTAACATATATAAACCCAGAATTTGTGAATTAAAAATAATTCATTTTTTTTGTCTTATTTAATAAATTTGGAACTACATAGTTTGGATTACTAAAATTGGATTACTAAAGTATTAATTTATATTTAAGACATTAATATTTATCTTTCTATTCATACCAAAAACATCGAAATCGAACAAAATTTAATGAAGAGGGGTACATAGTATACGTACACCAGGTTAATGTTAGGAATAAATTTATAAACCAAGTGCAGCTAAGAAGAGTTTGGGGGCTTCAATTTGATAAATGAGTTCAAAGAGAGAAGAAAGCAAAGTAACCAAAATTCCAAACGGGGCAACCTTTTAGAATTTGGAATAAGTTAACGCTGGGATGGAGAGAAGGGTGAATTTTATTCATATGAGGCAGAGTCTAGTTAGGAAGCATGATGACCACAACAGAGAAGTGACGCGATTGTGAATCCAGAAAAAGAAACAGAAAGAGTGATGACACATGACCTGTGAATGAGATGGAAGAAACTATTAAAATAGAAGTATTGATTGGAGCTCAATTGACAATGGATAAATCATCAGGATTATATTCAAAGGTCAGCCTGAAATCGACCAAGCGATCACACTGGCACGTTAACGAACCAAACGCTTAATTGAGGAATTATAATTTTAAACGTTTAAAAATTTTTTTTAATTATGGGGATATGTTATATATATTATATTTGGCGCTTGAAGGGATGTTGTACATTATTAATAAACCAGTTGTATATCACGAATAAATGTAAAAAATATAAGTATATTTATAATTATTTTAAAATGAAAAGCATTTTTACATATGTTTCACGTTTTTAGCTCTTTATTATCCTAGATATGAAACCTGATATATTGTATAAATAGTATAATATATCGATTGTAATAATATTAACTATAAAAATAAATTTTGTCGAAAAAATAGTTAACTCAATGAACATAACATTTTTAAAAAATAATATTTAAATCTCAAAAGAATAGGCTTTTAATCATATTTTAAATTTTATTTATCTTTGAAGTCAGAATTAAATTGCGAATAAGATTCATGTTATTCCTTATCGATTAGAAATATTATTTCTTTGTCTTAAATAAATTCGCGGTAAAGACTAACATATAATCATAATTTTAAATTTTATTAAATCATTGAAAGAATTAAATTGTGAAAATGCTTAGATGTATTTTCCGTCGATATTGGTATAGGCGAAAAGTTAAACTCTATTATATCTTTGAACTCAGAATTAATTGCAAGTCTAAAATTTCTTAGATTTTTTTTATCGGTTAGAAATATTCATTTTTGTCGTAAATACATTCACATCGAAAAGACTAAATTTTAAATTTTATTATATCACTCCAAAAATTATCGGGCGAATCAAAAAATGAGATATATTTTTTTTGATATAGGTTCGAAATATACTTCTTTTGTGGTAAATACTTTCACAGCCAAAAGGTTAACATTTTAATCATAATTTTAAATATTAGTATATGAATATTGTTATAAAAATGAAATGACAAGCATTACATAGTTCTTATTTATTAATAATATTAATAATGTTCATGAGATAACATACACATATATATGGTGAATTCCTTATCAAATCAACTTAAAAAGGTCGATTTTCAATCCGATCCCCTCAGAATATTTTTTAAATATTGTATATTTGTAATATATTCTATAACTAAGAAAATAATGAAATTTTACTTCCTTCACCACTTACTCGCTGGAAACTAAAAGAGCGAATAAATTTTCATTTTTGACAATGCACTTCATTAGTTTTAAAATATCTCAAAGAATTAGGTTAGAGCAATAATTTAAACTTCATTATATAACTTGATAATAGATCTCTAATATGAAATATAAATGAATGTGATGGAACCCTATTAATACCAAAAACCGGAAGTACAAAACCGGAAATGTTCATAGAATAAAAAAGTATTTTTTTCAATAATTTTTTCTATCGATATATACCACATAGCTGTATATTTATGTAAAGCTCCTAGACTAGGGTGAATGTGAGTCTAGGCGTTACGATCCTTTTATTTGGCTAAAAATAATAAATATAAGATCTTCTGGATTTTGGTAGAAATTTTTTGATGTAATAATAATTCAAAATTTCATTACTCAAAAGTTTTAATAATTTTGCATACCTGGTTCAATTGGCGTAATTTTAGATTATTTTTTTTATTAAAAAATAATAAATAAATGATCGTCTGGATTTTGGTAGAAATTTTTTAATGGAGGGGGTAAATTAAATATTGATAAATCTTAAAATTAAATATTTTTCCAGGTTATAACAATCTGAATGAAAATGGATATGATCATTACTCTGTCAATCATAGCAAAAACTTTATAGACCCTAATGATATATCAACCCACACTTAGCGTATTGAGCGTTTATGGAGAGATCTTAAGGCAAGCATCCTCAGATAAGGAAGAAAATCTTCTCTCATTTATATATATGTGAATATTATTATTATTTTTGTTTTTCCTTAAAAATATATATCTATATTATCATTGTATATACATATATATTATGTTTATTCAAATAAATTGATTAATTATCTAGTTTTACATATAATAGTAAAGTGTAAGAATTATAAAAATTTCCACAAATAAAATACTCCGTTTTATTAAATTCTTAAATATATTCTGTTCTTTTAAATTCTTAAATATAATCTGTTTTTTTAAATTCTTAAATATAATCTGTTTTTTTAAATTCTTAAATATACTCGTTTTTTTAAATTCTTAAATTTACTATTTTTTTAAATTTTTAAATCATTTGTTAAAATTTTTAAATACAGTTCTTTTTTTAAATTTTTAAATATACTCCGTTTTTATGATAAAATTACACCAAAAAAATATCCAAACGATCTTATATTTATTATTTTTTATAAAATAAATAAATAAAAAAAAAATATTAAAAATTTCCCCCTGATTCAGTGAGTTTACCCTCTTTCCTTAAATTAACAGTATCCTTTATATTATTATTTATTTTAAAGAAAAATTGAAGTACATCTACCTTGTACTTTGAACTATTTTTATCATGACCTTTGAAGGTTAAGATAAATGTATTTTATTTTATTTTTTTTGTTTATTTATATATATTATATATTTTTTTACAATGACCTATGACGGTTAATAAAAATATCCCGATGGCCATGACATTAATTTAAATGTTAAATAACTTGATAAATAAAATGAATAATTAATTAACTAAAAGTATGATAATAAGAATATCAAAAAGAGTTTCTAGGAACTTAAGTTTTATTATATGGTATCTTTTGTCGCCTTTCGAAAAGGTGAAAAAAAGTCTTTATCATTTACGGCCTATTTTAATGGCCATGACTGCTACTAACGCCCGTGATATTTAGTGAAAAAACTAAATATCACAACCTCGGCTCGTTTATTAAATATGTTTAACACCATGTGCCCGCGATATTTAAAATCATCCATTTTATAAAAAAATGGATTTATTTTTAAAGTTATTGAATTATGCATTATGTTTATATTTCAATAATTAACAAATTAGCAATATAGTACTTTTTATATATTAAATTTAAATATTCTCTGGGTAATGTTTCATAATTAACCCAGCATTCAACATTATACTGTTTTAGTATTAAAATACTTTGAGTGTACAGA